GGATAGAAAGCATTAAGTGTATCAAGTAAGCGACCAACAGATAACAAGTTACAATGGATATTGGGAACTAATAACGCACGAGACAAGGACAGAGTTGGGGTGAGAGAAATGGTGCCCTCGCCAGTAATTGGAGAGGGCAAACCATTAGCACTAGTTATGTATGGGTCACGGGTGTTACTAGACAACTCATCAAAAAATTTAGCATTATAAGTCATATGATCAAAAGCACCAGTGTCAATTATCCATGTATTAGAGCCAGTACCTGGAATAGAGTCAGAAACACGCAAATTTGCAGAAGCAGCAGCAGCACCAACAATGGAATTATCACTCATGATTGTAGCAGAAACTCAACAAATCACGCAGGGTATACAACAAATCACAGCACATACACAAATATGACAGATGCACGAAGACAACAGAGGCACAAACACAGTAGAGGTAGATGCATGAACACAGTAGAGGCACGCAGTAAAGGCACGAACACGACAGAGCACAAGGCACAAACACAGTAGAGGCAGATGCACGAACACTGTAGAGGCACAAACACGACAGAGCACACAGCGGAACGCGGCAAAGGCACAGACACAAGAACCCTAAAAGAAATTAGAGCACACAGTAGAACACGGGTGGGCACAACACACACAGGTCACCAGAAAGTCGGCTCTGATACCAAGTCAAACAATATGGGTAGAATATTTTCAGATATATTTCATTCTCCGAAAAGAGGTATTTATAATACAGGTTACAAACCCTAGTAGGGTTTAATTAGGAAATAAGTGGAATCCTAATTACATAATATCTACACAAAAGGAACAAATAAATAAAACCCAAATAGAATAGGATATGCTCTACTCGCCAACAACAAGTACAAGAAAGCACGACAATACGACCAAAGTAAATCAAGTTGAAAGAAAGTGAAAAAGAAAATACTTAAGGATACTTGCGGAACTGATCTGAGATTGTTAAATGATATCATGAGTTGAAGGGTGGCAATCTTACACATTTGGACTGAGTACCTTTGTATTTTCTAGGAAATATTTGAGAAAGATATAATACAGATACTATGAAAAATGTTTTTGTGCATGCGTAAAATTCTTGAGAGGTGAAACAGTCTGGAAGAAGAAAAAAGAGATATGCCATTGAGGCCTTGTCATGAATTACTATTATTGTTACTTCCTGCCTTTTCCATTTGGAAAAACTTACAGAATATAGGATGTATACAGCTAATAGAAAAAAGAAAATTGTGTTGAGGAAATATGCTGGGAAGACAAATGATAATATGAAAATGTCATAAGAGTAGTTCTTTTACACATGATGGTTACCCAATTTGCTGGGGACTTCTCTTACACCAAGATTTGTATTTTCTTTCAGGGCCACCGTGCCTATGCTGGCCACAAAAAGTATATAACTCCAGACAAAAGGCATATGGTTCCATATTTTCTGAACTCTTCTCTCCCAGAAGCGGAGTTCAATAGGATCATAAAGGAAATGCACAAAGACTCCTTAGGGCAGCCAGACCTCAGGACTAGCAGAGCTGGAAAAGATGTCACAAAGTATCCTGTTCCCGAGTGTATGTGCAATGAGACAGGTGGGCCCCAAAGCCTTTGAAGAGCCCTCTGCCTCCAATGTAGGAAACATTAACAATTCGATGAATAGACTTTAATTGATCATCACTCTTTCGCCTCGTGTGAGCAGTATAGCGCAGCCCCACATGAGCCCCTGTCAATCCTTCTGACACTGAGTAATCTTGACCACGAAGTGCCCAGTCTCGACCGATCAAATTCGAAAGTGACAATCCAGGAAACCACGGGCCAATAAATGATTCCGTAGGTTCACAAACAGTACACAAAACCAAGCTCTCCAATTCGGAAGTCCAAGGAATTTCAATCGGGAAGTCCAACAAATGATCGTTATTATTTGGAAGAAGTACACCTACGTCCTTGCGAAAACTGAAAGACTCTGGAACTTCACTGCCTGGAAGTAAAACATCAATATCATGTCTGGTATTGACTGCTGCCTGTAACACAAGACAAGACAAGAGAGAGAGGCATATATTAATTAGTCATGCGTGCATAGTATAGCATTAACAATACATGTAATGTATGCGTATTATATAGAAATTAAGAGAAAAAGATATTTACGTCACCTGATTCAGTAAAATATTTGCCATCTTTGCAGCGTCTCCTATATTATCGCATAGCCTATGGCAATTAGACAAGTTCATCTCACAAATATGTTGCATGTCTCCGTCTTCCAATATCTTTGACAATGTTGGAAATCTTTCCAGTGATATGCAATCAGCCATATTGATAACTCCTATAGATGCTGAAAGTTGTCCTAAAATTTCTACAAGCTTCTTGCAACCACTCAAACGAAGCCGCTGCAAGTTGACACATTTGCTAATGCACACAGGAAGACTGACAAAATTGGTATTGGATAGATTAATGTTCGTTAAGTTGGACCAGCAACAAAAATTCTCCAAGGAATCAATGTCTGATACATTGCACTCTTCAAAATCTATCTTAGCCTGGCTCACTAAGTCGCCATCGCGGTGACTGTTTGCGTTGGTTCGAACCTCCAAAGGAAGTGATTTTGCACTCGATAAAACTTCAGAGATCAATTTATTTGGAAGTGTGACAAGTTTCAGGCATCGATTGAGATTTAAATCCATGAGCTTTTGCAACCCATAAATACTTTGTGGCAGATTTGCAAGGTTTTCACATCCTTCTAAATCTAAAAATTCAAGCGTAGTGAGATCTCCAATTGATGAAGGTAACTCTTGTTAATACCACTTGGCAAAACCCAAGGGAATGTATCGTATAGTAGTGTAGCTCGGAAGTCCGAGTGTCGTATCCACAGAGAGCAGTGTAAAGAAAATAACAGAGATGAAAAAGAACAAGTGTGATTGAGAGGTAGATTTATGCAAGATTTAATTTAAAGAAAATTTAATTGATTAAAACACTAAGGCATTGGGGTTCCACTTTTGACATAAGTATGCAACTCTTAATAATTTGATCCACAAAATATTTTCCAATGTAGTTGTTCAAAATAATTAAAGCTCTTTCCTTTAGAAGTATTCTAAGCATAACTTGTACCATTGGCAACAAACTATCAAAAAATAATCTTCATCAAAATTCTATTAATCTTTAGTAATTCTCTTCTCTTTTAAAAGCATGAAAGTTTTTACTACACTATGGGAAAAACATGATTGAACCCATGAAATAGATTATCAAACATTCATCAATTAATTAAAAAAGAAAACTACAAATTCCATTTGAACAAAAACTACAAAATCACATTAAAGCTTAAGTTTGGATCAAACTAATAAAAATTACACACTTATATTAAAAGCTTTCCCCCTAGCCTTAGCTAGGGAGTTAGTTCCCCATAATAAAATAAAACTAAAAACAGAAATTAAAACTTAGAAAGATGGAGGGAAGAGAGAAAGCTCAAGAGTTGTGGAGCTTGGGTGTGTTTGAAGGCTTGTAGAGCTTCCTATTTATAGCCTTAAATCTCAACAACAACAATCACTAGGGAAATATTAAAATCTGAAATTCTTATCCCTTTCAATGCAAAACCATAGCCCATCTCTTCATTGTTTCTTCTTTGGCATGGGTGCCATCCCTCTTTCTTTTCTTTATGTTTCTCTACTCATTACTTGTAGGCATATTAGTATTTGAATTTCATATCTTGTGTCAGCCAACAACATGCTTTATACTTCTTTTGCTGTGGTAGATCATGTGACTTTGCTGCTGCACACATGGTTGCTGTCCAAAGTTGCTGACTGCTATCTTTTTGGTTGGCTGCAATCATTCCTTTAGGTTGCTGGAAAAAGAAATTCTTCTTGAACCAGGTTTGGTGTAGAAAGGCCACAGGTTTTAATATGTATCCAATGGAGCTCAAATTTGGATATGTTATAATAGACACCCATTGGACCAACTTTCATGAAGATTGTATTCCCATCTGAGCAGTAAAAACGTGCGTTTTGGGGCTTGCAAGCTGGCCTCCGAAAATGGACTGGAGTTTGGGCTTCATTTCTTTTCTCTCCTTGGGCTGCTTGCAAAGAGAGAGCTACCTAATAGAAAAATCAACTGAATTAGCCTTTTATTTCAATGAAGTGCAAATGAATTTGTAAAATGCAATGTAACATTCTAATTGGTTCAAAATTCATTGAAACAAAGTACTAACAAATATAGATTAGGGATAGAAATTGTAATAATTATGTGTTTATCAACTCTTCTATTGCAGTTCTTTTTAAATATAACTGTTCAAGCGCAGTTAGATGTCCAATTGAGGAAGGCAACTCTTTTATAGGACGTCCAGATAAGACCAAAATTTTCAGCCCAATGAGATGTTCAGTTGATGCAAGCAACTCTTTTATAGCAGTTCTCCCAAGGTCCAATTCAATTAAGGATTTCATTTTGTCCACAATTTCTGGGAAACTCTCCAACTTTATGCAATCTCTAAGACCCAACTCTTTCAGAGATTTCCACCAAACTTTATTTGGAAACTTGGTGAGTTCACGGCAGCCACAAAAATCCAATACTTGAAGTTTATCAAGATATCCAACAGATGGATGAACCTCAACTAAACTTCCACAATAACTAGCATTCAAGTACCTTAAGTTTGGGCTGCCGGATAGGTCGGGGATTTCAGTTAGGAATTCAGAGCGCTCTAAATTCAAAGATGTCAACTTTGTGAAATGCTGTGAAACCAAAAAAGAATTGAAAAAAATAATAATAATCAAATGGATAGCATTAAAGAAATTTACAACATACATCAGTTAATGAACGAGACCTCTTAAAGTACCTTCAATCCCTCCCCTTGTTGTTTAGTGCGGCTGTAAGGCAGATTGAGCAATCCTAGTCCCTTTGGACGAAAATTGGGTGGAAAATATTGGAGCGGACATCTATACCAATCAAGCACTCTCAATGTGGTTTGGGAGATAACCAATGTCTCCAGAAAGACATACGTTATAGTTCATGAAAATTTTAAAATTTTTCATCTTCGAGAAGCAGTCAACATCCAAAAATATCTCATAATCCTTTTTGGGGGAATTTAACATGATGCCAGTGATTTTTTTTGTTCCCAAACATAAAAAAGAAAAGGGACCATTGTTACGAAGTATTTAATAAAAAACATGCAAGAGATTCAAATTCTACTTTTGAGACCACAATCTGCTACGTCCTTCGACTTCAGTGGGCTACTCTTGCTCAACTATGTCCTTACCCATCTCTTCTAATAAGTCATGCATCCGAATATAATCTCCATGTTCAACACTTATGAGGGCCTTTTCTATGAGTACTTCAATGCTATAACTAGCGTTGAGGCCACAAGCTACAAGTATTTCTATCACACAATTTCTACTTTTACCCTTAAAGAAACATGCAATGTCAAGGAAAACCTCATGTATGCTATGATCCAATGCATTGTAACTTATTTTGAGAACATCTTGAATTTTCGGGCTTTTGAAACCATGTAATGCAGCTTCCCATTTATCTATACTTCCACCACATAGACAAGAACCGAGAACTTTCAAGGCCAAAGGAAGGCCTTGAGCATAGCGTATTGCACGTTCTGCAAGTTTCACATAATCACCCAAAGGAGGCCCACTTCTTCTGAAGGCATGCCAATAGAAGAGCTCAAGAGCTTTATGGTTATCTAAAATCTTGAACTCATGAATTAAATTAACCTCATGAGCAGTTAACAGTTGCTTATCCCTTGTTGTTATGATAATTCTACTGCCTACACCAAACCAATCACATGCCCCAACTAACTTGTGTAACTGTTCCATGTCATCCACGTCATCAAGAACCAAGAGAACCTTTCTACGCCTCAACCATTCCTTTATCATAGTGACTCCTTTATCAACATTGGTCACCTTCAATTTTTTTCCCCTTAGAATCTCAAAAAGAAGAGTCTTTTGTAGTTTGGCTAAACCTTCATGCGACGTTGACCTTTCTCTAACGTTTGCCAAAAAGGAACAACCTTCAAATTTGTGGGCAATTGAATTATAAACAGCTTTAGCAATTGTGGTCTTACTTATTCCACCAGTTCCCCATACCCCTACCATACGAACATCGCTTTCCCCCAAATCTAAAAGCTTATTCATAACTTGTACTTGAGCTTGCATTCCAATTGGATGCTCTGCCACTTCCAAACACACCGTGTACGTGTTTTGAAATCTCTTCAATGATGTTTTGGATAAACTTAGATTCAGATTGATGCCTGCCAATTGAAAAGAATATGAAGCATTTAGTGACGTGGCATTTCTATATAAAATATAAAATTAAAAAAGGGCAAGGAACATTATACACACAAAAAGAAGTGAATTTTGAGCAACGATTAATAAATTAACTCTTATAAAACTGATTCCAATTCAAGTTTGTCAAGAATTGGAATCAAAACTAGTTTTATTTTTAAAATACACGATCTTATATTTTCCAACTACTTATATATATAGTGGCTTACTTATTACAAACAAAACAAAAGGAAAAGCATTATATAAGGGGGTTAGAAATTTACTCGTCCAAAGTGAACCCTGACAATGCTGCTACTTGTGAAAGAGCTGCCCTCCATTTGTTGACCTTCTGCATATTTTCTTTGTATTTGCACTCCATGTTAGCCAGTGCATCCCCGAAGCTACCTCTCTGATTCCGTACATCTAATGGATTCACCTTGTAAAAAACTGGTATGACCAGTTGTTGTTTTGATTTCTCTCTGTCAAGAATCTTAACAAGTTCATCCAAACACCACTTTGAAGAGGCATAGTTTTTAGAGAACACAACGACAGAAATCTTTGATTCTTCAATTGCTATGAGAAGTGATTGGCAAAAGACATGTATATAATGCTGACATGGCATGCTGAATTGTGTAGTTAGTTAGAAGTTCACGTGGGTTCACGTGTTTGTTAAGTCGTAGCTGAGAAGCTAAGTGCTTCTGTCCTATAAATATTAGATACTGTTCATTGTAAAGTGGATTGAAAAAGAGAGAAAATTAATACAAGAAATTGCAAGCTTCTTCTCAAAGTTTCTTCCTATGTCTTCATTGAACTTTGTTATCATGGTATCAGAGCTTCGGCTCTTGATCCAATAGCTTCCGCGTGATCTCTGTTCATCAGAATTTTTCTTATCTCTACACTTCTTGATGGCGCTTGTTCTGTGCTCGCTGTGGATGAAAATAGCGATGATTCTTCTCAACTTTTTCAGTGCGATTATGGAGGTATTCTGCTCTCTCATCGTCTCGAGTGGAATTTATCTTTTCTCGCACTAATTCAGCGATCTGGTATGATTCTATCGTTGTTCGGAATTGTGCCATTTGCGATTTAGGCACGAAGCCTCTGAGTTCTTAGTTTACAATTGAAGCACGAAGCATCTCTGTTCTTGCAAGTGATTTAGGCACGAAGCCTCTGAGATCTTGTTTTACAATTGAAGCACGAAGCATCTCTGTTCTTGCATCTGATTTCAATTTTTTTTCTTTTTTGGCACGAAGCCTCCAAGGTTTTGTTTGAGATATAAACAATTATTGATTGGTGATTGTATTCTTTGTTGTTCCGTGTGTTGTGTAGATACAGCTGCACCAAAATGGATTCAGTTGCATCCTCAACTTGTGATACTCGCAAGTGCACGAGCCGTTCGGTAGTATAGCGTATGTAAGTGCGAGGTCGATCCCACGAGGATTGGTGATTGAATGATTCAATTCATTTTCCCTACATAGTTCCAATCAGTGCTACAAGGTTATGATCTCTATGGTCACTTTGATGGTTCTAGTAGTTGTCCACCTAAGTATGTTGTCACAGAAAGTGAGGGTGTTACTGGTGAACTTACTGAAGCATACAAGCAGTGGATACAAATTGACAAAGCTCTATTGAGTTTGTTGATTGCAACTCTTACAGATGATGCGATTGAATATGTTGTTGGTTGTAAGACAGCTAGAGACGCATGGCTTAATCTCACAGACCGTTATGCATCTGTATCAAGGTCTCGTGTCACACAGTTAAAAACTGAGCTTCACACAATTAGTAAGAGTGCAGATTCTATTGAACGTTTCTTACTCAGACTTAAACATCTTCGAGATCAGCTGATGGCTACGGGTGTAAAGTTGACTGACGATGATATTATTATTGCGGCTCTTAATGGCCTTCCTGCTGAGTTTGATATAATCAGGACTGTTATCTTTGCTCGTGAGACTCCCATCACTATGAAGGAATTCCGAGCACAATTGCTTTCTGCTGAGCGTACAATAGAGTCACAGGTGATGGCAGTGTCTCATCAAATGTCTAGTCTCATGAGTTCTGTTTCTACCACTCAAGGCTCTAGCTCACAGTCTTCTTCTCTCTCAACATTGACTGTTGGTATTATTCATACACAACCTACATCTTCTCATGGTTTTACTGGTGTGAAACAGTCGGGGCATTCTGGTTTTCGATCTAATTCTTATTCCCGGTATCCACAACCTTCTCAAGGATTTTCTTCAGGGTCTGTCAGAGGCAGAGGCAATTACAATTCATCACCACAGTATTCAAATCCAAGGGGGAATTTTCAGTCACGTCCTTCTTTTGGTTCCTCTGTTCAAAAGTCTCAAGTAATTCCTGATCGGTTCATAATTGTATATCATTTTGTACCCTTCTAGCTTATGATTTGGTTATGTTTTTGAGTTAAACTTGTGCTTTTAATCCTTTTTGTGTTTATCTTTCAGTTCATTGAGCTTTAGGTAATAATGATGGCTTTAGAGAGCATAATTCATGCAATTCAAGCATGTTAAGGCTTAATTTGGATGAATGGATGAAGAGCTTAAAGACAAACTCATTTTGGCTACAGCCCCCTGCCAGTCCAGTTCCGTAGGTCATATTGCAAGCTTTGTTTCATTGTTTTGGCCTTAACTTCTTCATCCGAGCTTGGATTGGGCCAATACTTGTGTGGTTGGATCAGACACATTCTGAACTTCAATTTGGAGTACTTAAAGTTGTCATTTGCTTAAGAGAAGCCCAAATTTTAAGCCCTTGAAGTTGCTGGTCATGCTGACCTCAGGTTGAGCTATTATTTCTGGTTGGAAGCTTGGTCCTGGTGACATGAAGATGAGCTAGGGCTGCTGGTGGGCTTTATTAGTGAAGTGCATCAACCATTTCAGATTTTATAAAATAAGTGTTGTATGCATTAGCCATATTGAATTCAGATTTTTCACTTCCCCTAGGCCTATAAATAGGGAAGTTCTCTATGCTTGTAAACACACCCCAAGGGGGGGAGCTCTCAAGCACTTCTCTAGAGCTCCCTTCCCTTCTCTCCTTCAAATTCTCTTAGTTTCTCTTTCTAGTTTTCAATTGTTGTAATGAAATCTTTTGTGTTGAAATTTTCCTTAAGTTTTTCTTAGTTCCACTTTACTTTTCATTGTTATGTAAATTCTTTTCTTTAGTTTCAAGTTTGATTAGTTTCCAAGTTTCAATTATGGTTTTTGTTCTTATTCATTATGCTTATAAGTTAATATGCTAGTTTGAATGATTGATCACCATTTAGGCTTGCATGTTAGCTATCTTGGTTTGAATTAAGAGTATACACCATGCTTTAATTCGAATTGAACTATGAATAGGAAGAGTATGTATGGACATTCGACAACAGGGATTAGATACATACTTGGTTGTTTAAATTGTTCTTCTATGCTTAATGGGTTCCTAATGCTTAATTTTAGGTTAGACAACAAATGATCAAATTAGGGAATTAGGAACACAAGGTTATGACCACACACCATGGCTTAATCATACTTTAGCTAGAATCAATCCATTAATCTAATTGAACTTGGGAACTTATTTGCTTGAGGTATTTCCTTTTTCTTGTTTTATTTATTTCCTTTTTTTTCATTTCTGTTTTGTGTTGGAGAAATGAATGGGATCATTCAATCACCAATCCGCGTGGGATCGACCTCGCACTTACATACGCTATACTACCGAACGGCTCGTGCACTTGCGAGTATCACAAGTTGAGGATGCAACTGAATCCATTTTGGTCCAGCTGTATCTACGCAACAATTCCTGAGTGCCAAATTTGCAACAAACGAGGACATACTGCTTCAAACTGCTTCTATCGAGTTCCTGACAATTCTTCTGTGACTAATCATGTTGTGGAATGCCAATTTGTGGAAAGAAAGGTCACACAGCCTTGGACTGCTACCATAGAGCTAACTTTGCCTATCAAGGCACTGCACCTCCTGCTCAGCTCCATGCAATGACAGCTCAAACCTCTCCTTCATTTTCTGCTGATGAGTTTTGGATCGCTGACAGTGGTGCATCTCATTATATGACCAATAATGTGACTTAGTTGGCTCAAGTTGCTCCTTATACCGCTGATGAGAAAATAACTGTTGGAAATGGCGAAGGTCTGTGCATTGCTCATGTTGGCAATGCTTCCATTCCTAGTATTTCTGGTTCTCTTCGCCTCAATCAAGTTTATCACGTGCCTCAGTTGGCTGCCAGCTTGTTATCCATTTACCAGTTGTGTAAGGATAATAAATGCTGGGTGATTTTTGATGACTCATATATCTATCTGCAGGACAAAGCAACGAAGGCTCTGCTGTACAAGGGTCGCAGTAACAAGGGTCGGTATCCAATTCCTCAAGCTCTTGGTGATTTGTCAATAAGGTCCAGTACCAAGTCTTCACCAATTGTGGCTGATGGGATTGCCTCTACTCCAACAGCTTTACTTGGGAAACCAGTATCTTCAGTTACAGCTTTATGTCCAATGCAGTTCTTACTCAGATGTTGAAACAGTCTCAAATTTCTAGTGTTTCAGATTTCTCTCAGAGTTTATGTAGTTTTTGTTTGAGTGGTAAATGCACCGCCTTCCTTTTGCTACTTCACAGTCTCGTTCTTCATTACCTTTTCAGCGATTACACTATGATGTATGGGGTCCTTCCTCCTCTGTAGCCTTTGGTGGATATAGATATTATGTGTCAATCATAGATGACTGTACTCGATTCCTATGGATTTTTCCATTAATTAATAAATCTGAGGTTTTTCCCACATTTGTGAAGTTTCATGCGTATATTACAAAGCACTTTCAAGCTTCTGTGCAATATTTTCAATCTGATGGCAGTGGGGAGTATAATAGTAAAGCATTTAAA